CTCCGAGACCACAACAGCAGTATGCGGACGATTGTAGATCCTCAGCCTTTGGCACGCGCGCACACAGCTTGTGTGCGAGTGTATAGGGTCGACTGCAGTCAGTGGTAACCACAAATGGCTGCATGGACAAGGCTCCCGCGCGGACCAAGATTCAGAGATGACGGCAGACAGCCGTTCGTGGTAGAGGACGGGACCTGAACCGACCTCGGGGGCTAAAAGCGCAATTACAGCAGTACGGAGGAACAACTGTCATTTCGTGTTTGTTTATCGTTGTTGTACGAAACACGCCGCTGCGTGCGTACTTCGGCCGTAGTACCAGGCAGAGAGAGCTAATTTTTTTTGGTCAGCACGCGCTCTCATGTCCACATGTGTGCCATCTCAATGAGGAGGAAAAATGCGCGCTTCAGTTCGCCTTGATGGAAAGTTATTCGATGTTGGATGGCCATGGTCCCACCGTCCGTCTCGTGCCAGGAAAACAGCAGCGATCGTCGAAGGGAACCCTGGCGAAAAGTGTTGCTACTTGTGCGTTCTTCGAAGTAGAAGAGAATCCCACACGGCGATGTTCCACGATATACAACTTCGAAGTAGACGAGAATCCCACACCAGATGTTCCACTGCCGCCCAATGCGACCATCACTCAACGAAGTCGCTCGTACACAAGCAATAAACAGCGAGAGAGATATGCACAACACATATTTGCACAGGTGCGCCCGTGCCATCGCACTGAGGAATCCCGACATACAGTTTGAGGAACGGAAGGCAAATACATCGGATAGTCTACTGTATATCCCTGCATTCAATCCAGTACGCATGTGTGGAACAAACCTGCCTTCTCCTCAAAAGCGCGTGCGATGCCTAGCTGTACGTCGTAATAATCCATCTTATCAACGACCCTAGGTATGTCGATGTATACAGAACGATCAACCCATCAGTCGAGGTCCAAGCGACACTCGCAGACTTGATAACTACCTTGCCCAGTCCCGGTAGACCACGATCCGCCTCATCCTTTCTCTGCCTCAAAGAAAATCTTCATGATCTGGTTACCGGAGCCCACAGAAAAATTGGACTCTTTTGAAACCCCCGGGTTCACGGAATCCGTTGCACTGCCCACACAAGATTTCCTCTAAGTCGAAGACTAACATAACTCCGTCGGGACGCTGGGAGGGGGGGAAGGGGGGGGGGGGTCCCGCCG